AATGCCAATCTCAGCCTTCTGACTCAACTTATCTCTTTTTGCATTAGGGATATGAGTAAAACAAATGCTACTAAATACTTTTGAGTGTGCAACATCAGGCTTGACTCCATACCAAGCTTCAAATGGAGTTTTCTTTTCTAAGGCTTTTGTGGGCAATCTATTGAGAAGATATATTGCCGTGTTAATAGCTTCAGCACAGAATTCTTTTGGAATTTTTTTTTTCAAACATCCAACACAACACCTAGCCATCTCCATCACTGTCCTATTTTTCCTCTCACACACACCATTTTGTTGAGGAGAATATGGAAAGTCAACTGGTGCTTGATTCCCATGGCATCACAGAATTTGTCAAACTTATCACAGTTGTATTCAGTTTCATTGTCGGTTCTAATGGCTTTAATCCTGCAACCACTTTCATTCTCCACCAAATTTTTAAATTTTTGAAACACAGATGCAACTTCACATTTCAACTTTAAAAAATAAACCAGGCACATTCTTGTCAAGTCATCAATATAAAGAACAAAATATCTACTGCCATTTAAAGTAGGTGTCCTAATTGGACCACACACATTTGAATGAACAAGTTCAAGCTTACATGAAGCTCTTCTTGACTGATTTTTGGGAAATGGCAATCTTGTTTGCTTCCCAAATTGACAAACATCACATACACAAACATCATCATTTATATCAGGCATGTTCTTTACTAGATCAAGTTTATGCAAGTGCTTAAGTGAGGTGAAGTTTGCATGGCCAAATCTTTTGTGCCACAAGGAAGACTCAACCACCGTACTGGAAAATGCACGAGTGGTGATGTTTTTCCATTGTAAAGGAAAGCTTCTATTCTTCATCATAACAGACATCAATTCATGATTATTTGCATCTAGTATAGTGCAAGCTTTATTCTTAAATATTAAGGTGTAGGTTTTCTCTAGCAATTGGCCTACGCTAACTAGATTTTGATCTATGTCAGGCACATAAAGTACATCAAATATGTGTTTAGTACCTGTTGGAGTCTCCACAACAATCATACCAATTCCTTTGACCTCCACATGTTCTCCATTGCCAACCTTGACTCTTGATCTGTATGATTCATTCAATTCAGTGAAGATGTTGGAGTTTGAATTCATATGATGAGTGCATCCACTATCCAGCAACCAAGTTCCATCATTGCTACAGATTTTGTAGTTGACAGCAGTGAACAAATGTTCCTCCTGCTGTTGTTGATGCTAATTTTCTGCAATTTTTGCTTGCTGCTGAGTTTGTTGGTCTTTCTTGTTTTTACAGACCTCTTCAACATGACCAAATTGTTTAAAAGCCCTACATTGAACACTAGGCCTGAACCAATACCATTTTGGAGAATGTTCCTTCTTTTTACAACGAGGACAAGGAGAGTTTTTTCCATCTTTGCCTCCACTTATGCTGCTCGCACCATCTTTCTTCTCATTTTGTTGTTTCTTTCCTCCAGATCCTAATTGAGCTTTATTTTTTTCTTTGGCAAGTAAAGCTCCTTCAGTTTGCTCCTCCTGCCTGATGAGCTTCTTTGTTCAGTAGCTTAGAGAGCATTTACTAGCTCTGACAAAGACATCGTGGACAGATCTCTTAAGTCTTCAAGAGAGGAGATCTTAGCCTCAAACTTCTCAGGCAAGCTTACCAAAACCCTTTTCACAACCTTTTTGTCAGGTAGATCTTAGCCCCAACAGTCTCACTTGGTTAACCACCTTCAGTAGCCTGTCAGAAAACTCCTTCACTCTTTCTGTGTCCTTCATCTTCAATGCTCCAAATTCCCTTCTAAGATTCAGGACCTGCATCTGCCTTGTCTTTGCATTGCCTTGGAACTCCTCCTTTAATCAGTTCCAAGCTTCCTTAGCAGTTTCACAAGTCATGATTCTTGAATCTTACCAAAACCTTTTCCACAACCCTTTTATAAAATAGATCTTCCCCCAACAGTCTCACTTGGTTAACCACCTTCAGTAGCCTGTCAGAAAACTCCTTCACTCTTTCTGTGTCCTTCATCTTCAATGCTTCAAATTCCCTTCTAAGATTCAGGACCTGCATCTGCCTTGTCTTTGCATTGCCTTGGAACTCCTCCTTTAATCAGTTCCAAGCTTCCTTAGCAGTTTCACAAGTCATGATTCTTGTGAAAATTACATCAGAGACAGCAGATTGAATGCATGAAAGAGCCTTGTACTTCTTTGCAACTTCCTCACTATGTTGCTTTAGTTGAGCAATTGTGGGATTTGCTCTTAGGGGTGGAGGTTCACTTCCTGTTTCAGTGATTACCCACAGATCACAAGCCTTCAGGTAGGCCTTCATCTTAGCAGCCCAAATATCATAATTTTCTTCTATAAAAATAGAAGGTAGCTGTGCTGCAAAATTGCTGGAAGCCATTACTCACCCTCACAGATCACTCGGCTGTTTGGTGAAGGGTTGCTTGCTGGTTTTCTCTCCAGATTTTGTTGCACAACTCTCACTGCCCCTCCAAGATCAGAGAGGGCTCTGATACCACTGAAAGATTTTTGAACAAAGAGGATGGAAGCTGGTATATTTTTCAGTAAGTTCACTCCAAAAACGAGCTGATATATTACATCTCAAATATATAGAGATTACAAGAAGTTTCCAGCAAAAATAGTCAACAGCACTTTACCTAATACATACTAACTTTCTTGACAGCTTTCCTTAAAACATGCAAGACCATATTTTGGTAAAAACTATCAGCTTTTATCCTTAAATTCAGCTAATTTCAAGCTGATAAAAAGTACAAATTTTTTTTCTTTTTACAGCAAAAGTGTCAATTTGACTTCAACATGAACCAAAATTGTGGACATTGTCTAATGAATTAATAAATGCCAATGTCTTGCAAACCACTTGAGACTGATAATGGCAATAAAGTTTTTGATATAGCAAGATAGTGTGTTCATTTATCAGGGGTCATATGCCCTCTTAGATGAGTAAGAATAATCATTTAACAGGATCGTAAGTTACGTGAATGTGCACAAAAACTTCCACTAACTAATCATATAACGTAGGTTGCAAAAGCAATAACATACAAAATCATAGTGTGAGTAAGATTCTCTTGAAGAAGCCACAGAAGGATTAAAATAATCTTGAAAAACAAAGAAACGAATTGATTGAGCGCGCTCTTAATTAAACAAGAAGGCATATGACTTTCCAGATGAGTGTACAATTGTAAAGAACAAATAAATGTCCAGTAAGGTTATTACCATGAAAAAGATACATCTATTACTATTAATAATTTAGCACCCTTACTGCAGAAACCAACTACAGAGAATAAGTTAAAATTTATGAAGCACAAAAATGAAATATAGAAAGCAACTAATTAAACAATTATGAAGATAAAAGGGAGCAGGAGCCAACCAACCTCCCAGACAATCATGGTATCTTGATTTATTCCTTTGTTGCCTTTCTGGGTAAAAATTGAAGCTTTCTCGCTCGATCCATTTAAAAACAGGCATCCGGATGTTCTATGCAGCTGTTTCTCCCTCCTATGATCAAAGGAAGAATTTCGAGATGCCAGGCTCCTTTTGGATCCCTTCGTCTTCCTGACTCCTGTTGAAGAACCAGGGAGTGGGCTCCTGCTTTCACTGGACATGCAGGCCCCCATCCATAGGGCCCTGATGATGTTCAGTATGCACAGAAGACCAGGCAGACAGTCACAGTCCCTATTTCCCGATATTGGATCCTTCACAAAATCCCCATAAAACTTTATTTTCAAATCCCGTTGAAGAACATCCCAATCCTCCACATAATCTTCAGATACTTAGAACAAAATCCACCAATAAGCTTCCAACAAAAGTAATGAACTTTCAACCACCCTTGTCGTTATTAGGGTCCTAAGTGCTAGCTACACTAACAAAAATAAAAAAATAAATCAACCAAGTATACCCTTGCCCCTATCCCTTTATTTTTTTGATATTATGCAAAAAGCTAAAATGGTAGAAGGTTTAAACAAAAATAGTAGACACCATGACCCTTCCCAATCTCTGAATAATTAAGGTATCATTTTTTTTTTCCTCTGAAACGCACTTCACCTGCTTATCAGAACCCAAAATTGGGAAGATGAATCAGAGCTCAAGATTATTCCAGACCTTTTAACACCAAACTCTGTTTTTTTCCTATAGGGGCCAGAGTATCGAACCCCAAATCGCTTTTTATACCTTCATTGAAGAATTTTCCCAAAAAAAAAAAAAAAAAAAAAAAAAAAAAAAAAAAAAGGTATAATTCAACTGCTACTTTCAAAACAAAACAAAACAATTGCTAAGGATGAAAGAAGGGATAAAAAGGTGCTTTGAAATGAAACGGCAATTTAATCACAAACACAGATAGACAAAGACGCGGAGAATTGAATTGCCGAAAAGCATTGTAATATTTCCACAACATAATAACACAATTAAGCTGGTTTTAATCTGGTAAACATTGTAATTCAACGGATAGAATATCGGAAGACAATCAATTGCACTGATAAAGGTTAGTGGAAAAAGAATGAAGGACTTTTGTGGAGGAATTGAACAAAGAAAAGTGAAAGATAAAGGAGGAATCCACAGACACAGTTAAGCAAGGAAGAGCGCAAGGGGCAATAACTAGTAATCAATAAGCCTAATGGTGGACCTTGCATGAATTATTGTGGGTTGCTTGGTTTTCACGTAAACTTTCTTTTCATCGGTTCTATCTTTTCTGTTAATTTCAATAATTTATGATTTCTACTCGTAGCTGATAACCTGATACTGCTGTTGAATGTGGATGATAGGGTGGACAACAAAACTACAAGCCCGTAAAATGTCCAGAACAAGATGTACGACATGTTTCAGATATTCATCTCAACATTACTTTTGCTAACAAACTGGTAATCTAATAATTGCAGTACGCGTTCAACTTACGAACTACACAAATAGTCAAATTTTATTACAAGATTTTTTCCAACCCAACTGGATATATGATATGTCAATTAAACAAGCACTCGTTAAAAAAAAAAATTAAAATAAAATAAAATTCTGATCTCTATTGAAACATTTGGTATGGTGAATTGGACCTGAACGGTATTTTATTAAATAAGAAAAGAAGTTAAAATATTGAATACTCCTTACAAAAATGCCCTTATGGAACATCAATAAATATGCACAGCATATATGATGGTCATCATGTCGATGTTGTAACATCATTTTCTTCTCTGGAAGTTGCATCATCTTTATTTGATAAAGAATCAGCCAAAAACTCTGATCTCAACTGCATCAGCAGCCTACCAAGATAGTTGAGGCCTTCTCCATCTCGACCACCTCCCCAGAACAGATCATGAGGTGAAGCTTCTACAAGAACAGATCCCGCAGTCGAGAGTAGCATAGATGTCAAGTTAGGGTATGTTGAAAATTTGCATTTCAATGCCCTATACATAACATCAATTTTGGAAGATTCCCAATCAGATCTCACCTGCATGGTGCATGGCAAAATTGAATCAGGTTCCTGTTCAAAATTGTCAATAACCACGAGAAAGCAATGTTAATCTTGGATAATATTTCCGAGCTAAAATACAGAGAAATTTCGGAAGCTCAAAATCAGGTTTCAGGGTTAAATACAGACGTTGTCAGTGAACTTCTAGAAAAATTTCATGGTGGCCTCCAATTTTTTTTTTTTTTTTTTTTTCTCAAAATCAAGTTTCAGGGTTAAAAACAGACGTCACTGAACTTCTAGAAAAATTAGTTGATCACTACGCTTAAACATTTGTTACAATTTGGTCATTCAGTCCACCAAGAGAGACTAGTTGGGAGAATAGTTGCACATAACTAGACGATCATGTCACCTTTTCCATCAGGCAAACCATGTTGGCGTAACCAACTTGAATAAAATTTTAACGATCAAATTAGAACAAAATAAACTTTCGCGAACTACTTGAAATCTTGCTAAGAGTTTAGTGCCAACCAGTGTATGTAACCCATGAAGTCTCAATAGAATCTTGCTCATCCTAACTAATGTAAGTATTAAACTGCTAGCGTTTTCATGCCAATACATATCTTCTTACTATCGGAAAGTAATACCAGATCTGGGCGCTTCCTTTGTATTTTCCTTCCCAGTCGTGCTGCTTCCTCAGGACTTTTTGCATTTTTTATGTCAACCAAAATCTTTTTGGCAACAGGCTTATTTACGCCAACAAACTTATTCGCCTGCAAATTGCAGAAAACTTGAAGAAAATCCCTAGAAATGATGTATCACACAAATTATAGATCAAAATCAATGAAGAGATATAAATAAGAGACCTGGTAATAATGCTCCACACTTGGCCAGGTATAATAATCTCCATTTTCATCAGGCATCTGAATTGGATGCAAAGAGAAGTTTGAAAAGGCACCATGAGGATCCCATGTTTTAAAGAAGAATATAATGTTTGATTCATAAGCAGAAACACTTGGATCAATTGCAGAAGTTTCATCCATCGATGGAATATTAGGTGTCAGGTCGGGAACAGGCTGGAGAAATCCGCTTACTAGCATGTCAGGACCAATCTGCAGTTCTTGCATCAAACATGAGCCAATAATGAAAATATGGAGAGAGAAAGGAGCCTAGCAGAAAGCAGATAATATTAAAATGTTAATGCAGCTATTTCATAAGAGGAGCATTTACAATTATGTGTAGAGAAGAGCACAACTAACCCATAGAAAGGACAACTACAAATATCAAAACTGTGGAAAAATATAGCAACATAAAAGAACATCAGCGATACAGAATTATGAATGCGATAAACTCAATACGGAAATATAACAAAGCAGGACTAATTTAAGTACTGGTTAATGGTAATGTAATATGAGCACAACTCTGTTCATTACCCACAGAAAGTTGATGGTAAGAACTAAAAAAATCAACCTCCAAAAACAGAAAATAATGATGAAGTCGTAGTGCCATTACAATATTTTTGGCAAGGTGCAAAAAGATATTGACCTCCTATTTCCAACTTATTGATGTTTGCTTAGACATAGATTCATGTGGCTGTGAGGGTGAAAGATTTGTATTACACACTCCAAATGAAGTTTTTGTAAAGAGCTTAGGGCCTATTTTGAACATATTCGAGAGCTTCTTATTGCAAACGAATCATAAAATACAGAATAACATTATGAAGAACTCATATGTTAATTAGATGAGAATTCATTAGCTAAGTTGTTCCCAAAACTAAACCTCAAGCTTACTAATAACAAAGTCCTGGAAACATCATAACAAATGTTCTCTGGTTTTTGTTTGCCCATCAATATAAGAAAGCAATCATAAAGATCATTGGTTCTTCTTTTCTCATTGTTAAAAATAACTCACTCTACAAGAATAACTTATACACCACTACACCAGATCGCTGGTGCTCAGACTCAAGGTATAGACCGTATAACAGATCTATAAAGTATGGAATGAAAACAAAGAACAGTATAGCAGATCTATAATACAAGGAAAAAAAAAAAGGAACAGTGTAGCAGATCTATAATACAAGGAAAAAAAAAAAGGAACAGTGTAGCAGATCTAAATAAAAGGAAAAAAAAAAAAAAGGAACAGTGTAGCAGATCTATAATACAAGGGGAAAAAAAAAAAAAGAACAGTGTAGCAGATCTATAATACAAGGGGGAAAACCGAGAAACCAGTTTAGGCTATCATCGATGTCTGAATTGCAGAAGAAGATTTTACAGACGAAGATGAGATGCAAGTACATATAGAAATGTTTCTGACCTGCTCGTATTGAACATCAATTAATTCCAAAGCTTGTGTCATCTCCACCATCCCCAGTTCGCCAACAGGTGACGGTGCATTTTTCCCACCAATAATTTTAGGAGCTACGAATGCATGCACCTGCAAGAAGATATAACAAAGACAAAGACATAGAAAAACTAGAACAACATATTTCCTGAAAAATTGGTGCTTGCATAAGATCCCTGATGTAGAATATCTAATTCTTCAGTATGTTACAATAAACCCACTAACCAGAAAAGATAAGATTGAGCAGGAGTAGTCGAACAAAGGAACATGGGAGGAGACTCAAAAAACACTTGCAGGGAACAAAAACAAATAATAAATTGTTAAAATCACATTTCAAAGGCTAAATGTTAAATAATTAGGCTGTGAATGACACCCACTCCACAGTAGACATCATAAGAGGGTAAACTTCTGCAGTAGTACTCTTTCCGTAGTAAATTTGAGTAAAATACCATGGGTCTACCCACACATACCTTGTGTATGACACCAGATGAAATTGCAGAAGCAGCCAGCGTCCCTCCACACTCCCACAAAATTGAAAGATAACCACGATCGTAAAAGTAATCCATTATATCTTTGGGATTTAGGATATCAAATTCAACTACTTCGACGCCCTTTGATGCAAGGAATTTCTGGAAACTCCTTCTCGCACCTCTCTGTGTGGCAACCATAGTGGGCACCTCGGTATCATCCCACAAGTTTGCAACCTCGGGAAGATTAAGAGTTTTTGACATTACAATCCGTCGAGGCAAATGTCCACCTCCATGTCTTGCGGTTAGATGTGGATCTATATTTCAAACTTGAATTAGAATGGTATTCAAACATTTTCAGCGTTTCCATCAATCAGAAAATTTATAGCTATGAAAGATCCATACTATCTCTCCGTACAGTATTTCCTCCAACAATAACAGCATCACTTCTGCCCCTCAATTCAAAAACTCGAGATCTCGACATTTTGCTGCTTATCCATGATGCATGTCCGCTACTTGCAGCAATTTTCCCTGTTTTTTCGGGTAAAATTAGTAAACTCACTCCTTTCTCAAATTCTTTTAATCTGTACCCTTAAACAGTCACCCAGATTTTATCACATAAAACCATTAAAAGAGTTTAAAAATAGTTAAATTCTTCTTACCATCAAGTGTCATTGCATATTTGAGAACAGAGAATGGAACACGAGAAGCAGCTCTATAGAGCAAAGGAGCATTGACTACTAGGCAGGATTTCAGAGCTTCCTACAAGACAAATCTAAGCTGTTAATATATTAGAATGTGCTACATCAGATACATAAGAAATAAAAATTGGAAAGTGCATCAGAAGTTTTTGAAATCAAGAATCTAAATCAAAATTACAGGACAGAAAAGGTTTCAGAATGACCACAATACTAGCTATGTTGATAACCAACATGACTGCCCAACATACCCTTTCGTAAGTTATCAATTAACATTCTAGAACTTATTTCAAATCTCAAATATTTGGCAATATACCTTATAAGCTCGAAGCTCTAAAATTCAAGCCTAGAAAATGATAAAAAGCAATATCAACTTGAATTATCGCAAAGCAATTGCAGGTGTTTTATCCATACCTACTTGTAGTGAGCATATGACAGTTAATTGGTTTACATATTTAAATTAACAAAATAATAGTCGAAGGACAATGATTAATGACACAGGTACTAATTGAGTAGCTGAGAGCGAAATTTCAGGCTATATCAGGAAATATTTTAAATTAGACGACATTACCTCAAAAGTTTTACTTTGCAAGTCCTCACCAAGAACATCAACTAGCAGTCCTTCACTTCTGAGTGCACGGACAGCATTGCCCCTAAGATGTTGCAAAGGATGCCTAATCCCGATTACAACTCTAGTAATTCCAGCCTAAAAACGTATCAGGCACATTTGAATTTTGAGTATGAAAACATGAAAATATTACCAAGCACAGTGCATTTGAAGAACAAACTGGATGCAATGCTAAAGAAAGCTAGCAACATGATTACAAAAGAACAGAAAAACTAATACAACCGAAGGCTAGGAACATGATAGTGTGTATCAATTCAAATAAGGTACAGCTAGGAAGCAAATGAAATTTAATTAATGTAGACTCCAACAATTCATAAGATTTGATAAAGAAAGGTACGATAATCAACAGTGAATTCCCGCATTATCTTCCAACCTGAAAAAAGTATAAGAAAGTTACAACATTTGATGCAAAATGTAACAGACAAATTGTAATTGCTTACCTGGACGATAGCAGAAACGGAAGTGTGGTCGGCGGTGCAGTCACTGGGTTCCATGTTGAGATAAGCGGTCGCACCACGGCAAAGCTCGCCGGCGGCTTCCACTGCCTGCAGCTCCGCCGGCATGGTCCCCTCCCCATACAAATAGCCCTCCCCTAGAACCACCACCCTTTCCCTTCCTTTATTGGTGCTGGTTATCACGCATCCGAAGTTTGGGTGTGGAGCAGTGAAGCCCGCTGAGCTGTCGGCTAGATTGGCGGCGCGTTTGATGTACGCAGCATCGAGATCGTGAGACGAGGATGAAATTGAAGTGGCTTTGCAAGTAATGGAAGAAGGAAAAGTGAAAGCTCCTAATGCGAACGCCATTAGATGCTATCCAGACATAGGTTTGTACCAAGGTTGCATCTGTTTGTACCTAAGTTGTAAGTTGTACTAAGAAAAGTTAAATTGCATCTTCTGTCCCCAACTTATAAAATATTTCACTTCAATCCACAACCTCTATTTCTTGCCATTTCTACATACATCTTTCATAAATTAAACGGCTACTGTACCATTAGCTATTTCAGCCACGAAAAGGTTGCTTTAAAATCTCGATAAATGAATATTAGATAAATCGGTAATCTCATTTAAATAATTTAAAGTTTTTGGTCCTGACTCAAGCTAGTGTACTAAATTAAATCTTGCGTGTAAGTTAAAAATTTTATTTAAAATTCTTAAGGGTCCAACGAAAATATAAAATAATAATTGATCAAACATCTTAGTACATGTTAAAGAACGTTTTACTTGAAAACTTTTACCTTGTAAATTCAATTTTTTTTTTTTTAGAAAACGTTCAACAAAAGTTGCTTGCTTTTTATAAGTACTCAAATTGAATTCAATCTCATCATGCAACGTAAATACTAATTTGGTATATTTTTCATTCTATAAGAAGTAATTATTTAAGATTACAATATTTGAAATATGAACTTTTCTAAGTTGGCCAAGTAGCACGTGTAAGAATTTAATCCAGTTTTGAAAGGAACTTATCATCCAAAATACAATCCTTTCACATAATTGATCCATATTGAAATCAAAGAGAACATAATGAAAGCGGAAGCGTACCTTGATCCATAAATTATAATTGATTTTGTTCGGGTTATGATCTTCCAACTGTTACGTGATTTCCTTTGAGATTCTTGAAAAAACTCTCTGTTGATGGGGATGCAGAGAATCTAGAAAAATTTTCACGTGCAGTTGGGGACCATGATCCCATGATAAATAACTGCAAGTAGTTATCATCTTTTATTTGTTTTAAATTGACCTCTCATCAATTTAAAACAATCAATTGGTCTCTGCACTTTAATCTCATAACATTTAATACCAATAAGTCCAAAATTAAACTCGATGGATCACTTTAATGGATTAAAAACTTTAAGATAGCAACACACTTTTTAATTTATATACATGTGTGGTCCCATATATGTTGGAATTTTTCAACAATCTCCCACTGGGCCACACATGTAATCTTTTAAAGGTGCAAAACCTTATGAGCTCAAAATTTGCTATCATTATTAAGGGTGTTTTCAAACAATCTCGTCCATTAATCATATTGATGTAGGATCAAAGCGATTTTCGTCACATTTAGCGTGACTAAATCCATCAATGGTAACGTACACCCATACAACCAAATGACGTAGATCAATCATGGGAGCATAGAATGGAAATTACATGTTATGTGATCCAAACATGCCTATTTCCAACTGGTCCAACCTTATTTCTTAAGTGAGATCAATACTGAATATAATAACAGAGTGAAATGAACTGAATATTTTATTTCTGTACAGAAAAATATCCAAATACACAAATGTGTCTAATTAAACATAAAGCAATAAGAATACAAACTCCCACTAAAACACGATATCCTCAATAAATCTGACACCCATACGAGCAGTGTGCTCATGAAAGACCTTGGGTGGCAATCCCTTAGTAAGTGAATCCATAATCATGGAGTTCGTCCCAATGTGTTCTATGAAAATTTGTCCACTCTGTACTCTTTCCTTCACGATCAGGAATTTAATGTCAATGTGTTTTGACTTAGATGTGCTCTTGTTGTTGTTGGAATACAGAACTGCCGAGTTATTGTCACAATATAACTTTAGTGGTCTTTCTATATCGTTCAGAATGTACAGCCCAATGACAAAGTTTCGCAGCCATATTCCTTAGTTAGATGCCTCACAGCATGTACAAACTCTGCAGCTATGGTAGAAGAAGCTATGAGTGTCTGCTTGGCACTCTTCCAGGAAATAGCTCCTCCAGCTAGCAGATAGCTATAGCCTGATGTGGATCTTTTACTGTCTTGGCATCTAGCAAAATCATAATCGGAGTACCCTATGATCTCCAACTGATCCGATCTGTCATATGTGAGCATGTAATCCTTTGTTCTTTTTAAATACATCATAACCCTTTTGGCTGCTTTTCAATGATCCATTCCAGGGTTGCTTAAATATCTGCCTATCATTGCAACAATAAATGCTATGTCTGGACGTGTACAAACTTGAGCATACATTAGACTCCCAATAGCTGATGCATAAGGAATCTTCTGCATTTCCTTAACTTCAAGGTCATTTTACGGGCATTGTTTGAGACTAAATTTATCTCCCTTAGCGACAGGGGTGTCACCTGGTTTGCAGTCTTGCATACCAAACCTCTTAAGTACTTTATCGATGTAGCTCTTTTGTGACAATCCAAGAATACCTCGAGAACGATCTCGGCATATCTGAATCCCTAATACAAAAGAGGTGTCACCAAAATCTTTTATCTCAAAATTGACAGAAATCTCTTGGTTTCGTGCAACATGCATATATCATTAGTGGCAAGCAGTATGTCATCAACATACAAAATCAGGAAAATATGCTTACTCCCACTGAACTTGTGATAAACACAATCATCAACAATATTCATCTCAAAACCAAATGAGATAATTATTTGATGAAATTTGCGGTAGCATTGATGAGAAGCTTCCTTGAGCCCATAGATGGATTTCTTTAATTTGCAAACCATAATCTTCGGGTCTCCAAATACAAAGTTTTCTGATTGCACCATATAGATCGTCTCGTCAATGTCGCCATTGAGGAATGTCGTCTTAACATTTATCTGATGTAACTCAAGGTCAAAATGCGCAACAAGTGCCATAATTATCCTGAAATAGTCTTTCGTTGAAACTGGAGAGAAAGTCTCTTTGAAGTCGATGCCTTCCTTTTTGGTAAAGCATTTAGCCACAATACGAGTCTTATATCTTTCCATATTACATTTCGAATCCCTTTTGATTTTAAAAATTCATTTGCAACCGATGGGCTTCGCATCTTCTGGTAACGGGACAAGATCTGAAACTTTATTATCTTGCATAGACTTATACTCTTCATTCATGGCATCAATCCACTGTCAAGAGTTAAAACCCTACATGGCCTGATGAAAATTGATTGGATCATCTTCCATCATTCCATTATTTTCCTCATGTTCTTGGAGAAATACTATAAAATCATCCAGAATAGCATTTTTCCTTTCTCTCGTGGATCTCCTTAATGGCATTGGTTCTTAAGGTTGTTGAGTTTGTACTTCTAGAATAATTACCTCATTTTGGTTGGGAAGTTCTTCAATATTGTCTTGTTGAGGTTCTGGATATACTTCTTGACCAATGACAGGTATAGAAACCTGTACATTGTCAAAAGCAGTAGTAGGAATCGAAACCGATCCTTCCTCAACTTCTTCCTCAAAGACAATTTCTCTAACCTTATTTCTCCCCCAAACTCAATATCCTCAAAAAATGTTAAAGTTCCCGTTTCAAAAATTGACTTAAGTGTGAGATCATAAAATTTGGAGCCCCTAGATCGCTCAGAATAGCCAATAACTTAGTTGCTTACTGTTTTAGAGTCCAATTTCTTTTCATGTGGCCTATAAGGCCTAGCCTCAGCTGGACATCCCCAAATGTGAAAATGCTTTAGACTAGGCTTTCTGCCTGTTCAAAGCTCATGAGGTGTTTTAGCAGCAGCCTTAGTTGGTATTCTATTTAGAATATAAGCTGTGGTCTTTAATGCCTCTCCCTGGAGTGATTTTGGTAAGTTTAAATGACTAATCATACTCCTTACCATGTCCTTAAGAATTCTGTTTCGTCTTTCAACTACACCATTCATGCTAGGCGATCCTGGCATGGTATATTGTGGGACGATTCCACATTCCTCTAGGTATTTGGCAAATGGTCCTGGATATTGTTAACCTGATCCGTCATATTTGTCATAGTACTCACCACCATGATTAGATTGAACGCTCTTTATCCTTTTGTTGAGTTGATTTTCAACCTCAGTTTGAACATGTCCAATGAATCAGACTTTCCATGAATAAGATATAGGTACCCATAACGTGAGTAATCGCTCATGAATGATATAAAATATTGTTGACCATTTCAAGAAGCTGTAGGGAACGGTCCACTACGTGTATCAATTATAAGACATCTGAAGTTTTGTTAGCACCTAATCTCTTTGTTTTGGTCTGTTTTCCCTTGATACAATCAATACATACATCAAAATCCGTAAAGTCAAGGGAATCCAAAATACCATTCGACACAAGTCGTTCAACTTTAGCTTTTGATATGTGACCTAAGCTCTTGTGCCATAATTTTAAAGAATTTTCTTTATTTAATTTGCGTTTAGTACCACGTGATTCCACATGCAAGGTTTCAGTATATGATGCAATAATATTAAGCAAATATAGGTTATCATATGTAGATAACGAACCAGTACCAATAACATTTGAATTTAACAAAAGACTAAACTAATTGTTTCCAAATGAACAACAATATTCAAATTTGTCCAATGAAGAAATAGAAATTAAATTTCGTCTAAAAGACGGTACAACGAAAGTGTCTTTCAAATCCAAATAATAACCAACTCTTAATAACAACCTAAAAGTGCATATTACATCAACTTCCACCGATTTACCATCACCCACATAGATGTATCTTTCACCATCATTTGGCTTTCGGTAGTTCAGGCAGCCCTGCATAGAAACACTTATATGAGTAGTAGTACCAGAATCTATCCACCAAGTGTTTCTAGGTAAAGAAGCTAATTTATCCTCAGAACAAACCAAAGTAAGAATTGTACCTTTCTTTGCACGCCAATTGCGATATTTGACACAATCCTTCTTCACATGTCCAGTTTTGTTGCAAAAGAAACAAGTTCCTTGAAAGGAACTAATAATCCAAAATACAATCCTTTCACATAATTGATCCATGTTGAAATCAAAGAGAACATAATGAAAGTGAAAGCGTACCTTAGTCCATAAATTGTAATTGATTTTGTTCGGGTTATGATCTTCCAACTGTTACGTGATTTCCTTTGAGATTTTTAAAAAAACTCTAT